GACAAGAAGAAAATAAAGAATTTGTTAAGCTCTTTAATGAGCAGAAATTCAGATCTAGAACTGCTATTTTAAAAGTCTGGTAGGAATATCCTACCAACATGTTCTTCCAACCTATACCAGCTAAAGATAAAATCACTTTCACGAATAGAATAGGTAAAAAGAAAAATGGCATTAAAATCAGGTTCAGAAATGGTTTCTGTCACGACGTTTTAACATCGGTCGATATTCAAGAAATAGTGAAAGCCGGTGGACGAATTATTAAAATATTAGATGGTATAGTTTACGAAGAAAATTTTAAAACTCCACCCTATAGAGATTATATTTTAATTTTGAGAGATCTAAGAAATAAATATAAACGAGAAGATAATATCGTAGGTAGTAATTGCATGAAATTATTAGGTAATTCATTGTATGGTAAATCTATTCAAAAGGATATAAATACATCGAGACATTTATGGAGTGAAGTGACTTTAAAAGCCAACTTCGATTCACACGTTATACACTATGAAAAAGTAAATGATAGTCAATATATAGTTGAGATAAATGAAGAAGAAAAAGAATTTGACTGTACACCTCCTAAATCTACATGACTAGCACCTTGTCATTTGGGATCATTCGTTTTATCTCACGGTAAAAAAATAATAATGATAGATGGATTTTATAAGCCTGAAATATACTATACGGATACCGATAGTTTATACATTTCGTCTAGCAATTGGGATAAATTAAATGAAGCTGGGTTGGTGTCCGAAAATGATTATTGTAAAGGAAAGAATGATTACGGTGATGGTGGAATTATATTTGGTTTATATTTAGCGCCAAAATTAATTACAATATCATTCTAACTTCCGATGGTGTTCTAAAAGAAATAAAAACGTTTAAGGGTTACTCTAAAGATAAGATAACCGTAGACGATTATATTCGATTAGCTAGTGGACAGGATGTAACGAATGAATTTAAGAAACCATGGGTAAAAAGTTTCACCAATGGAGTAGTTATTCCAAAGGATGATGATAAACAAAAGAAAGTTTTTAGAAGTTATGTAAATCTCGTTAAGAGAAAAGCACCAAACAGTGAAGGAATCATGTATCCTTACAACGACGGAAAAGAATTGAACATGGATGAAAACTACGAATTTGATGATTTCGATTATCTAACTATTCAAGAAGAGAATGAAGAGTGTTAATTTTTTTGTTTTAAATGGAGTTGAATAACAATTTCCTCGTTACCAAAATCTATAAACCTATATTTACCATCTTTGATTTCCAGATTTATATATTTAATCATAAAGGAATTAAGTGGTAAATACGTCGTTTGAAATGGTTTCTCTATAATTCTATATCCTATCGGTACAGTGAATGTTGGAAGACTGTAAATAATCTGACGTTTGTATTTATTGAAAAATCCAGCGTTTATCAAATTGCAATGTATATTTATCACATCGATATCATTCTCGATATTAGCTTTGTGTGGTGCTAAAGTGGATTGGGTGTATAGTCGTTTATCAACTCCTAGTAACGTATTCAATGAATTTTCTACGTTGAAATCAACTTGACTATTATTTCTTAATATCAATTTTATTTTGTTCAGATTCAAATTACCTTCGAATTCAATATTGTTTTTACCATTTACACTTCCTCCATATTCAGATAGGTATTCTTCCTGGTAGTAAACGAATGGTTTTGAACGTAACTCCATTATCTGTTGATATTGTTATTTGATTATTTTTTTCGTTGATATTTCTAATGAAATTGTAAGCAGAGAAATACTTTAATCCCAATTCATATTCTTGATTGCGATCGAGTTCGTACTCATAATCTAGAGACAATTTGATGTCTGATTTATTTGAGGTGATGACGAATAGTTGTTCTTTATTTGACATTTTCAATCACGCTTTTATAATCATTTTTATCTATGATACCTTTTCCTAGGAGTCTTTTTAGTATACAATTCACTTCATTATATTGTCTGTGCGATCGATGTCCTTCCTTCATTGCCGCTAATATTACTCGTAATCTATTAAGCAGTTCATCGTTGTTGTCGAATAAAAACGTTATACCTTGTCCAGATGCCACCATATCATCTAAATCGTCTATTTCTTGTATGATTGGTGGATAATCTTCTGCATAATCATCTGATTCCTCTTCATCAGGAATAACTTTATTTAAATATGTTTCAACTGCTTTCGATCCTCTTGTTTCGGGTCCCGACTTTCTTATTGCATGTAGAAATTTTGAGTATGCTAGTAAATCCTTGTAATTGGCAATGCCAATATACCCGCCATTCATTAAATCTATTAACCCTTTCTTTAATGTAAATATTAAGTCTTTTGAATCGATTTTGAATATAGGGGAATTTGCCCTAAATTTAATTCTAAATCCATTAAACAATAACCCCTCATCATCAATGATTGGTGTAATACTCTTTGATAAATCTGCTTTAGGGTTTGAAAAAAGACTATTAATATTAACTAATGTCCCAATTATAATACCACCATATGGATTCGGTTCTGGGTGATGAGGTTCTACAGGACGAATGGGTTCTTTAGGAGGGATGAGTCTCTTTTTAATATCCTCTTGAGATTTTAATATGGGTTGAGTTTGTAGATTTTCCGTTAATCCGAGTTGTTGTAATCTGATAATTTCAACTTGGGTCTTTACTTTATTCTTAGCTTGGATATATTCTTTATTTCTTTTTAAAATATTATTCCAATCGTTACTCATTTCTAAAAAAATAAAATTAACATATGTCGATCATAACTCTTTCACCCGCGGGTTTTTTAGTATTTAAAAATACATATCCATGTTCATCTTGGTTTCTCCATTGACCTTTACAAACTTTTTTGAATGCATCTCTGTCCATTCCGTGAATTCAAATAATAAAAAACAATTTGCATTTTTTCTAATGAACATAGAATCCATCCCGTAAAAAAATTGGGATTGGTATATGCAGTGACAGTTGTGATGTCTTCCCTTCGTGAAGAATTCTTGTTGAACAGCTTGATTTCTTTGTCAAACAATATTAAGTTCTTTCGTTTGCTATCAATATTAGACAAGTCTAGATCATTAACATTTTTCGTAAGAAAAACTTTTATATCCGTTGGATTCTTTCCTTCGATGTAGTTATCTATAATATATTTTATTTCCACTTCTTCTTCGTTTTCTTCGAAATATTGAAATAGGTCTTGAACATCTTTCTTTGGTAGATATTCTAAAGCTTTGAGAAATTGATAATACGATTGCTGTTGTTGTGTAGATATACAAAGAATCGAAATCTAAAAGGTTTGGTGTTGTCAACATGTTAAAAGTTTTCCCAGAACCGGAACTACCGCATATACACATGAACTTTGGGTTATTTCTGAATGATTTTTTGTCCATTTTTTATTATTTTAATTTGTTCCAAAAATCACTCCTTCTCTTTTATACTTTGAAAGAAATATTCCTTCTCCAGTGTGTATATTTTTTAAAAATATTCCATTACCCTTATGTTTGACTTTGACTTCTCCCGTATCAATACTATCTACTAATTTATTTAATCCTTGTTTAACAGTTTTCTTGGTTTCTTCCCCAAATCTTTTTCCAAATTCTTTTATTGTGCCTATCATATCTCCCACTCCTGAACCTCATGCTTTCTTTTCCAGTGCTAAATTATGTGTACGTTCTTCAGCGGCTTTAGCATCATCTGCTTTCTTTGAGAGGACTGTTTTTGTTATTCTAATAGCCGCTGTAATACCACCAAATATTAAAGGTAGAAGGAAAGGTAAAAATCCACCTTCTTTTGCGTTCGCCTCAATTCTTTCTAAATCTATATCGTCTCTGACTTTACAGTGAGTTTTTTAGTTATGCTGATATTTTTACCGTTGAAAGTTATTACAGCTGGTGAAGCTGTTTCAATAGCTTCTATTATTTTCATAACTAAAGTTTCTGGTTTCATTTTTAAGGGTGTATTTTTTACTCAATTTTTTATTATTTTAATTTGTTCCAAAAATAACTCCTTCTCCTTTATACTTCGAAAGATATATTCCTTCTCCAGTGCGTTTGTTTTTTAAAAATATTCCATTACCCTTATGTTTGACTTTGATTTCTCCTGTGTCAATACTATCTTCTAATTTATTTAATCCTTGTTTAACAGTTTTCTTGGTTTCTTCACTTTTTCCAAATTCTTTCATTGTGCCTATCATTTCTCCCACTCCTGAACCTTTCTTTTCCGTTTTAGGTTTTTCAACCTCTGCTGCCAACTTTTCCATTTTTAAATTATGTCTACGTTCTTCGGCTGCGTTCTTTTCATCGGTGGCTTTTTTAGCAGCAGCCTCTGCAATAGCAGCTTTCTTTGCGTTGGCAACGCCTACTCCACCAGCTGCAGCACCAGCTATTGTACCGGCTGCAATAAGTCCACTAAATATTAAAGGTAGGGAAAATATATATCCACCTTCTTTTGCGTTCGCGTCAATTCTTTCTAAATCTATATCGTCTCTGACTTTACAATATTTGTATTTGTCAATAAGTTTTTTAGTTATGCTGATATTTTTA